CGATATAAAGCCAAAAACCCTAGTTGAGCCTACTTGATTCCTCGGGGTCGATAAAAAGCCAAAAAACCATAAGTGAGCCTACTTGATGCCTCCTCGTCGATAAAAAGCCAAAAAAACCATAGTTGAGCCTACTTGATGCCTCACAATCATCAGTTGAGCATAAACACACTTAAGATCAAATTCAACAACTGTAAATAGCTTACTAAGCTAAAAACACCAGTTGCACAGAAACATACTTAAGATCACAATCATCAATTTGCAAGCATCTTACTTAAGATCACATTCGGCACCTCCAAATACCACCACATTTTGCATTAGTTCAAATCCACACATAATAATAGTTGAAGATTAGTACATTACATCACCATAGTTCAGAAGTACTCATAGTTCAGAGAATTTAAACTACCATCATTACAGCAAATGCCAAACCACACTCTGCCAAAGGTCAGCAAATGCCAAATGATATTGCCCATTCTTCTCTTCCAGAACCACCTGCTTATCCATTTATGATGGCATTGACTCCCTGCAGCTTCACATTGCTCTCTTCAACTGTCTTCTTCAACTCATCAATGTGGTTTTGCAAGTTCTTCCTCTCTCCGGCTAGCTTGAGCTTCATGTTCCTAATGACATTTGCTTGAGCAGCTGCTAGGTTCTTAACCATGGCATACTTCTCTTGAAGCTTGTTGGTTTCAAGATCTTTCCTTTCTACCTCTACCCTCCTTTCCTAAGCATCCAAAAGTCCATTCACATCTTCAACCAACTTCTCATAGCTCTCATGTAGCTTCTTCTTCTCTTGTGTCAAGTCATGAATAGCAAATGAATGCAAAAGATTTTCCTCAGTCCTGTCTCTCCTACTTTGTTCATACATAAACCATAACTTGGCTAATGCATTCTCAAGGGTGTTGGGCCAAGCTGGATCAATCCATTCAACTAATCCACAGTTTCTACCTTCCTGAACAAAATCAGAATTAATATAAACAAAAACATTAGAATGCTTCCAAGCAACACTATTTAATTACTATCCTCAAATTCAGAGCTTGAGCATGCTAGCTAAAGAGAGGACTACTTAAACATGTCCTCATGCTACTTAAAGAATGTTGTCCTGCTATAAAGTAAACAGAATCAATCAAATGACCTAACATGTCATACTAAACAAGTTGCATCCTCTGTCCTGCTCCAGTAACCCATGCATATTCTGTCTTAAATTATTAATAGCATGCTACACTAAACAAAGTGACCTAACTTAACAATGTTGCCAGACCAAGGGGAAAAGATGCTGCCAGAGTAAGCAATTGCTTCTGATCCACTTTCCTAACTAAATAATACAACTAAACTTAACACTAAACTGCAATGCCTGCCTCCACAGTACAGATCTAGAGAAAACAAAGGCAGAGCACAAACAAAGGCAGATCCAGAGAAAACAAATCACAATATACCTTCTCAGCACAGCAAAGAAACCTCCCGCCAGTGTGGATTCCTTCGAAAGCAACACGCCTTTCTGCGGCCTTCCCATGTTCATTGCAGAGAACAAGCAACTCCGTTTCAGGTCCCTCGAAATCGGAGTCTTCAGTGGTAGCAGGGATCTGTAGTGCATAGGAATACCAGAGATTTGATCCACATGTCAGCAAGCAAGCTCATTCAAGAAATCCCCCAAATCACAAACCCTAACCCTAAAAATTTGAACTTACCTTAATTCTGCCGTCGTCAGAACCTGAGCTGACGTACTCCACGGTGTGCTCGCTGCTATCGGACCCATCGCTCCAGGACCATTGCGACGCGGCGGGGGTGCGGCGACGCGGCGGCGGGTGCGGCGACCAAAGCAGAGGAGCAAGACAGAGGAGGAGTGAGCGAGAGAGCAGCGAGACAGAGTGGGGAGTGGGGGCAGCACCGACCGGTCTTTTGACCGGTCCATCAAACAGAGGCATACGGCACCGTCAAACGCCGTCTAACGGCTGTCGGGACGGCCGACGGTGCCACGTACGCAAAAAAAAGGCCCCACCTGTCATAAACAAGCTTAACTGACCCCGATCCGCCGATCAATGCTTTCTGCAAAAAGATTACGGAAGACATGGTGTTTTTTGCAAAAAAATGTATTGTAGTGGTTTTCACAAATCTTGTCTTTAAAGTGGTGGTTTTGTGTAATTTACTCGTGTAAACGGGATGACTTGGATCCCCAGCCGAGGCTGCTTGCACTCGCACTGCTGCTGCTTCAGCCTTCAGATTTGGAGCGCGAACTAGCTAGCAAGTGGCACATAACTGGTGGTATCAAAGGTGGCAGCAGATTCATGCCAAAGATACTGTAGCGTGTTTAACATTCTGCATATGTGCAGATTTATAGCTCCTGCGCCTTCTCGGCTAGATGCTCGCTGCCAGTGCCAGCCTCTGCATGTTGGGTGGTCTCTGGCCACACACTCTCTACTCACACGATGGGTTTTCCCCGCAGTGAACCGTACCCTCCAAGTTTACAACCTGCTTGTGACACCTGACACGTACTAGTAGTTCCGTTTGCCGAATTGGACACGTGGCATCCTGCATCTATCCCAACACTCGAGCCTCATCACGTCTCCTGTTGCCGCTCCATTTTTCTAGGTATCTCTTGTTGCTATGCATCAACATTGTTTATGTCATCTTGCTCTTTAACTCCTCTGCTAAGAAGTGAGAGCCTTACTGAAAAGGAGAGAGGGAAGTCAGTCAATTTTCCACCCAGGGGAACTTGGTTACAGTAACAAGATCCAACAGCAACATGAGGCACAATAATTCCTCTGCTTGGTGTTGGTGGCAGGCAGGCAGGCAGGCTCGTTCGCAGCGCTGCAGGCCATCCACATGGAGGTAGATTCAGAGTTCAGACGGGCTTGAGTGTGCGACTGCGACACAGTTGCATCTGCTAGCATGAATGCCGGAGTTATTGGCTGCTGCTGCTCCCATCTACCCGCCCCGCATGTCGTCAAGAAATCAAGTGCACCGGGTCCCTGGCCGGCCAGCCGGAACGAGGAGATGGTGGCGAGACCACGGCGCCGATCGAGCGAGCGGTTAAAACCTTACAGTCAGTCACAGTTCTCACGTTTCTGCCACTTTTCCTGAATGTGCATGTTCGAACACGGCAAGGCTCGCTTCTCTCCTGGGAATCGCTGTTCGACATGCGTGCGTGTGAGCCCGTCTTTACCGTTTTCCCACTGCAACGCATGCAAACCCTAGTAGGTGCTCCTGCGGCGTGTAGAGAGCCGTCGATCAGCCACGCACGCACGCACGCATCAAAGTGCGGAGCAGCGTGCCTGCCCGTGTACGTACGTGGTGCGATGCGGGCACGTCAAGATGTCTAGTTCACGCCTTCGCCGCCTTCCCCCACCCCCGCCCGCTATAACAGTTCACCCCGGCCTCACCAACCCCCCACCCCAGCTCACTCACTCACTCACTCTCACACACCCACTTTACTTCCTCCACTCTTCAGGTCACATCGGCAGCTGCTAGCCAAGTAGCCAAGCCAACGAAGAGATCGAGAAAGCGAGAGCGTAGCAAGAAGGTGGCATCATGGCGACGGCGGTGCAGTGGCCGGTGATGGTGGTGGTGGTGATGATGGGGGCGGTGATGGCGGCGCGCGTGGGGGCGGACATGGACGCGGACCGGAGCGAGTGCGCGGAGCAGCTGGTGGGGTTGGCGCCGTGCCTGCAGTACGTGCAGGGGCAGGCGCGGTCGCCGGCGCCGGACTGCTGCGGCGGGCTGAGCCAGGTGCTGGACAAGAGCCCCAAGTGCCTGTGCGTGCTGGTCAAGGACAAGGACGACCCCAACCTGGGCATCAAGATCAACGCCTCCCTCGCGCTCGCCCTCCCCTCCGCCTGCCGCAACACCAAGGCCAACGTCTCCCACTGCCCAGGTACGTCTCCCTCCTCTACGGCTCTACCTACCTCCCCACATGCATATCATATCACCGACCTCGTCGCCGACCATCCCGCCGCCGTGTCACGCTCCACGGCACAAATGGCATACGTCTCGTGGCTGTATTTTGGAGGGACGTCTCGTGCAGGCTAGCTATAGATGCCCTGTGGCTTGTTCGGTCTGGCCCGTGACAGGGCCGGTCGCATCACGACTTGGACGCCACTGGCACCCGTCGACGTCCCAAATTACTTCCCTTTCTTTACAGAATCCGGCACACTGCAGGCGCCAACCAACCTATACAGCAAGGCTGTCGATCTATTATGGGAGCCCGTTTCGTTTCTTCATTTGTACTGACATGAACTGAACTACTGAAGCACTACTGACTGTTGGCTATACTTTATGTGTGCAGAGCTGCTGCACCTCCCTCCGAACTCCAAGGACGCCGCCATCTTCAGCCCCGGCGGCGACAAGGGCTCCGCTGCAGCTCTAGGTGACTGAGCCATCCCGTTCCCCACCTCCTCTTCTACCAGACTCGTAGTTTCAAATTGCGGTTTGTTCAAAACTGCGACACTTATTATGGATGAGAGGTTGCACCACTGATTCATTAGCACTGTGAAAACTAAGTTACGTCGAGCGTAACTCGCCGAAAGATGTTTGAACCATAGGACCATAGCCCATGTGCTTGTTACCATCAATGGCGCTTTTCACAGACCTTTTCCCTTGCCGTAACGTACGTGTGTCTGGAAATTAATCAAGCCGCCTGCAACTCATGTCCCTCCGTAGTCCTGCTGCCTGTCACTCTGTCGATCTAACAATAACAATCACTGGTTTCGCTTTCCTCGCAGCCAAGGACAACACGGCGTCGACGGCCAACTCCCGCGCGCAGCAGGCGGCCAGCGCCGGCACCGCCTCCTCGACGGCGACCGCCGGCGTCGAACTGGCGGCGTTGCTCGCCGGCTACCTTGCGCTGCTCCTGCCCGCTGACTTCCTGGCCGCCGCCTCCTCCTTCTAGTCCATCTCCGTACGTGCGCGTCTGTCTCCTCCCCCCTACGGCGCTACCGAAGATCGATCAGGAGCAGGGGAGCCAGGAACCAGTGACTCTGTTTGGGGGAATGAAATGCCTCAAGTAGGATCGATCATGCATGTTGTAGTATGTGACAGAGATGGTAGTGGTGGTAGTGGTTGGTTTGTTTTGGTGCTGTATTGAACTCTTATGTTTTCGCTGTATGGATGACGCAATAATTCCACACTTACGGATGCGGCTATGGATGATGTGTCGACCTGACCTTTGCTTTTCGTTGATGTTTGTGAGAAAGCGCCTGTGATTTGGTGAGGCACTTGATCCATCGATGGAATCAAGCTTTTCGTTCTGATGATGGTCGTTGGGTTCGGGGCTTATTTTCTACTCCCTCCGATCCATAATTATAATAAATAATTATAATAAATGTCGCAGCTTTGAACTAATTAAATTTAGCCTTCGATTAGAACTACAACAATTATTTTGGATCGGAGGGAGTAGTTTTTGTAGGGAGTAGTTTTTGTAGGTAAATACATTGACAGTTACTGAAATTGAGCTCAAAGCACAGTACGGGTCACCGGACTTTGAAATACGCTCGTTACAGTTATCATATATACAAAGCAATCATACGGTCACCGACTCATCGTAGAGCATTTGCACTCTGTTGACCGGTTAAATAGTTTATGTAGCAAATATTGTAAAGGTCCCATATGTCAGTGTGTAAAAGAAATAAATTAGCCAAAAAAAAACTTCGGTGCGGAGAATCGGGTTAGAACCCAAATCCTCACGAGTAATGATAGACCCACAAAGGGTTACGTAATGATTTTACGTGCTTGCTTATGTGGAGAATTAGGATTGGAAGTTGTGGGGTGAAGA